TGTTGCTGGCAGCTGAACAAAATATTCTTCTTGTATGATAATGACTAATCTAACAGCGGTTTCAAATTGCATTCCACTGAGTAACATGATGGAGTGCCCTCTTTCATGGGAACATTATTTGAAATGCAATATTTATGGGTGATAACTAGTAACATTTTTCATTGGGAAGAAGGCAGTTCCAGGGCCTTGTGTGCCTTGGCAAACAGTAAAAGTGTTAATTGATATAGCACTAGGAGAATAATTATAACAGTATTAGGGTATCAGTGAATGTCATCATACCTGGATGGACATAATTAATTACCTGCATCACAAATGATCCTTGTAGGAGGATACAAAAACCTCGAAGCTATAAAGAGTTCTCTTGAAAAAAAAATAATTGGCAGTATCCTGTATTTCAAAGTCAGGATTAAAACCATATTAAATGTATTTTGAAAGGGATAGTGATAGGGAAGAAAAAATGTAATCTGTCATTCAATGGGCAAATTTCAGATTTCAGACTGAAGTTAAACGTAAATACGATCTGCATTTAAAACAACGTGTACAAATTGTTGTCCAGAACTACTAAACATCTCACAATGGCTCAGCCTGTACTACTTCCATCATTTAATGTAGCTGTTCTTTTCTGTTTATTGAACAGACTTTTCATTTAATGTATCTGCTAATACTGAAGAAAACAAATAGTTCATAAAGAGGATTTCCTATAGTGACAAAGATGTAAGCATTCTTAGAATTCAAATCTGACATGCGAAAAACAAACCTAAGTTATGTTTCAAATAAAGTATTTTGTTTAGGGTATAGAAAATAGAAAAATCTAAAGATACTTACACGAAACATAACACATCGGTTCGTATTGCATATTGCTGATCTTCCAAATCATGGACTGGTTATTTGTTCTCTCCTATTTTATTCATTATATTTGAAAACTGCTTATCAGCAATAGCTCCCATGTATTAATTATTGCTGTATTTGCCTCAAAAAAAAATATTTTTAGCAAGTTATGTTTACGAACATGGTATGATATTTTTAAACAGCCTCATTCAAGTATAACTTGCAAGTCTGGAGAGCAACTAAGTTTGGGACATACTAAGTAAACTTGTATCTTCAGGTGAGTCTTGACTCTTGGCTGCTTGGACAAATCCATGCTATTTTCAGGGCAACATTTTTTGGAATGGCTTTTGGGAAATCCTCTAGGAGTGATAGAGACTGACTGGCTCAAAATCACCCAACTGGCCTTGCATCTGAAGTGGTACTAGAATTCATGGTCTCCCAGTTTCTAGTAATATACATAGAGGAAGACTGAAAAGAAAGAAGCACCTTAAGACCATGGCCTCATTTTCAGAGTTCTGAGGCAAAATGGAGAGAAGGTGGAGAAAAATATTCTTTTTTGAAGCTAATCTACATAACTTGTACATTTTATGCTGCCTAACCCATTTGATCATTTCCAACCTGGACCCATATTTTAATGAAAAGTGTTTTCCTATGTGGAGAGCCTGGGTATTAATTCTGATCCCACATGGAGGCCATTGTAGTTATCCTGATGAAAAGTGAAAATGTTGCAATGCTGGAGTACCAAATCAAGGATAGACTGGGTCTGCCCAGATGATCAACAGGATGAGGAAAAGATCACAATATTTGGGACAAATTTGATTCAGGTGATCAAGCAAACATTTTCTTTAAAGGGAGGTTTCAGCTATTTCTTTAAGTCTATAATGAATCAAAGGCTCTAGGTAAGGGGCCTTCAAACTTGGCCCTTTTATGACTTGTGGACTTCAATTCCCAGAATTCCTCGGCCAGGCATCTCCACTTTTTAGCTTTTGTGGGTGAGAACTAAACTTTGTCTCAATCTATGCTCCATAGGATCTAAAAAGCCTAAACAAGATTGGAAGAAATGACATGACATCTGCAACAATACTTTGCCACAGGGTCTGTTTCTCTGCATAATAATGTTTATGATATTTTCCATTGCAATTTCCATATGAGCATAGTGACTATAACAGCCTTTGTTCTCAAGTCCAAATTTAATTTACGTTTGTAAATCTTTTAATTTAAAAGAGAGTGTACAAAAAACAATTGCTCTGAAAAATAACCTGATTATCCTGAAACCCCCCCCTCCCCCCAGTATATAGTATCTGACATGTTAGTTTGCAATACCTTTAATGTTATCTTGGAAATTTTTATAGCTATCTAGTCATCTGAAAGTAGAATAAAAATATAACCTTTACAGAGCTACCTTAACAAATTATGACTTGCCTTTAAAAATCTGTGGAAACTCATTTCCAAACACATAACTGACCTACAGTAATTCCATGCTGTGGTCAAAGATAATAATTTTAATAATAATAATAATAATTCTACATCATTCTTAGCAAGGATATTTTTGTATAAGAAATAACATAGATATGTATACAAGTTGGTTTGGAAAAATAACCATTTTCTTTAGTTTATTACACAAATGGAAATTTGCTCAGCAGAGGCTTAAATCTATCCTATCAAGTTGGAAGCCCCAAAGCCATCTATGAAAGAGTAACCATGAATTATAAGACACCAGCTGCTTGATAAACTCTCCCTTTTCTGATTCCAGATTGTGCAATAGATTAGGGTTATTAAGCACCAATAGGCTATAATGTAGGGTTGACTTGCTCCATGAAATTCACGCAAGAGTAGTTTTAAAAGCCCGCTTCAAGGAAAATAATATTTGTCTGCTGAATGATGCAATATAATTGATTTCAGTGGCCAGAATGAAAAGGGAAGAATTCATTAAAAGTGGTTAGGAATTATTTTTATCAGTGGTGTTATCTGTGGGGACAAAGCACCAGTTTCTTCATCAGCCCTTCTAACAGCTGCTATTCTCTTTGTATTTAACAACAGGAGTGAGTAATAACAATCTGCCATTTTGAATTTCCATCCGCTTTCTAACATAAGGTGGTAGAATATTGAAATAACAGCCTCTTTTTTTTTGGCATGTTACTTCCTACCAGTATTCTGGAGACACATTATGGCTCAGCAGGTATTCTGACTCATTAGGAAAAATGCTGGAATGTGTATAATTAGGAAATGCCAAACCAGGGATCTGTATTAGTTCATTGTCTCAAGGTGCTGACACCAGCCAGAGACAAGAGGCTGATGCTAATTTTATCTTTAGGGGGAAAAAAAATCTGCTGATCAACTACAGTTTTGGAATTTAGGAATTAGGTGGACTATCCAGTAACCATACAACATCATCTGAACAACAGCAACAATAACAACTCCTCCTCCTCTTGCACTTCTCATTTTATATAAGCTTGTATATTCCAAAATACCTTTTCCTAATTATTGTTGAAATGCCTAATGTTTATGACAGATGATATAGACATAGCTAGACAGACAGAGAGAGAGTTTCTAGTTGAGTCAGACTAGTTCTGTATGAATCTTCCATCTGGCTGAATGTTTCATTTAAAAGCGATGTAGGTGAAAAATACTATTCCTCCTATAATAGGATTTCTTTGTGCAGCGTTATTGTTTTTCATTTAACATGAACGAAATACAACTAATGTCTTCTGTCACCCTCTGAGGTGAAAAAGCTCCTTTCTCTGGGAGTTTTCTGAAAATCAAAAGATCTGGATGAGATTTAAAACATTAATCTACCAAATAATGTGGGGTGACAGTCTTTTCTCTTTCAAAGAAAACCATATTGTTTTTCATTTCTATCCTTGGTGTTGTTGCCGTTGTTGATTGGAAAATTCTTGAAGCACTATAAACAAAATGATTGATAAATGTTTTTTTTTTTTAAAATAATCTCTTTCCTTTTCTGCAGGTACCCCTGAAAGTGACACCATTTGTGAGAGATGTCCAGAAGGACATTTCTCTAATGATACATCATCCAAAGCTGCCTGTCAAATGCACACTAACTGCAGTGCCCTAAGTCTTAAATTGATGCAGAAGGGAGACTCCACACATGACAACGTGTGCCAGGGAGAAGAGAGTGATAAATTGGACCAGCAATGTGGAATCGGTGTGTATATAATAATAATAAAAAAAGCAAATAATGAAATTCCTCATGAGTTTGCAGCTGGCACGCAGTGAGATTTTGTAGATTATACCTAGTAGACTAATACGCAGACTGGAAAATTGTCGTCTGGTGGAAGGATTCTCATATAAAAAAAGGGCCTGGATTTATTCATTATTGCCTGAGAGGAGAGAAACAAAACCAGAAACCACACAGTGCAGCTGCTCTATTGAATAACTTTGTCCTCCAAAGGAAGCAGTCTGTTAACACTTGCAAAGTGCTAAGTTTAAAATGAACTTAATAAACATTCTTTTTCAGTGGGGTCCAATCCCTGTTGGTTTTCATACGACTGTAGTTTTATAGAAAAATCAGACTGCACTTTTTGACAGCAGTTTTTGACATTTGTTCCAAAAGTTAAGGTCTTGATTTTAAAGTCAGTATCTGTATTGTTTTAGATGTGACCCTGTGTGAAGAAGCGTTCTTCAGGTTCATTGTGCCCAAAAAGCTATCGCTATCATCCCCCTGGCTGAACACCCTCATGGACAGTCTGCCTGGCATGAAGATCAGTCTTGAAAACAGGGAAAGAATTAAACAAAAGAGTAGCTTGCAAGATCAGACCTTTCTGCTACTAAAGTTATGGAAAGAGCAAAATAAGGACCACAATACAGTCAAGAATATTGCCCAAGGTACGTATTAAAGTAAAGCAAGGGATTATGTTTACCCACTGGGTCAGTTTAGGTAAGATGTTTGTTCCTGAGTATAGATCGAATCACCACAACAGTCAAAGCAGTAAGTTGAAGGTGGCCATTGTGGTTCTCACTTCAGTAATCAGAGTGCATAAGCCACGTGGCCATGTATTGCATCTTTCAGTTAGGCTCTGGAGAGCTGACTGTATGAAAGTAGGAGACCAAGTGCAAAGCAACAGATAATTCCCCCCTTTCCCGCCTGTTCTTTCCTTTTAGTGTTGAGTAGGTTGAGGGAATTTTCTCTGGCTGCAGTATCGATAGCAGCCTGGAGCAAGATAAGAACTGCCACTCCTTATCTTTAGCATTTGAAGTCAGTGGACCTGACTACAATCACTTTAAAACTGCTTTTGAAGGTTGGGTTTTTCAAATAAAAGTCCTTTTTATTTGAAATC